ACCGAAGGAGAGGTGTCACTGGCCAGAGGTAGGGGTAGGGCGGCAGCAGGGTAGTTGCTGCTCCCTTCGTGCACCCTGTTGGCGTCTTTTACCTCGAGAATCGGTGTTGGGAAGTCCTGGGAGATGATGGCCAACTCTTGGCAATGTCTGTAGGACAGCAAAGGAGTCGGGACACCATTATGCACGTCAATCCAGGCTTGACACGACCTGTTGCCAAAGGCGACATGTGCATAGAGTGAACCTAGGGCCGGGGTCATCTGTGAACCATCTGCCATAAAGCGGAGATCCTTGGGGGGCGGTCCTAGATCACTTGGAGAGAGTCCCCAGCATTGCAAATGCTGGGGACCGATGACCGTAGCATCAGCGCCGGTGTCGGGCAACACCTGAAGACGGGATGACACACCGCCATAGGTCACAATAACACTGATGTACTGGGGGACTTTGGTCCTGGGACGCGGGGGGGAGCACACATTCCTAATATGGCTCGAGCGTTGTCCAGAGTCGTCATGCCTCTGATTGGAAGACGGTGGGCGGCCCTCACTGGTGGAAGGGCGCTGAAGCTTCCGCCGACGCTGTCCCTTGAGTTTGTTGGTAGGGCAACACTTTTCATAGTGGCCCAGACGACCACACACATTGCACTGGACGTGCTTAGCTGGGCACCGTACTGTGAGTGACCAGTGGCCCTTACGGTCACAATTGTTGCATGTAGACTCAGCAGCTAGACACACCTGTGTTCCGTGCTGCTTACCACAGTTGTGACAAAATGAACCGGGCGTGGACGTGGTGGGCGAAGGCGTAGGAGCAGACTTCTTGTCCTTCTTGTACCGGGACACAGCGCGTACAGCTGTAGGGGGAGCTCGGATGGCAGAGGTGGCACACCTGGCAGCCTCATAGGAGCGACATATCGTCAACACATCCTTGAGAGAAGAGGAAGAGTCGAGGGAGGTGAGGCGTTGGACAAGCTCCTCGTCCTTAACACCCATCAGGATCACCTGCTTCAACTGGGTCTCCTCGCACTGCTGGTGGTTACCTGGACATATATCTACCTCTTCCGAGGCTCGCTTGAGTCATACATAAAAGGCGTCAAAAGTCTCACCCTCCATCTGTCTGCAGCTAAACAATTCCCTCCTGCGCAGAGCTTCATTCTGCTGTCCTTTGATGTGCCGTTGTAGGATGTCCAGTACCTCCTCTACAGACAACGAAGAGGTCGGAGGTACCTGCAACGTATGTTCCAAGACACGCTGAATTTCCAAGGACAGGCACATACGCAGCTGGGTGAGTTGTTTAGGCTGTGACAAACTCTGGAGATCCACCATTGTAGCATAATCAGTCCACCGTCCCCGCCATTCACGAAAAGTCTGGAAATTCACATCAGGCTTCAAGATGGGCGGTGTTTGAGCTGTTGCTTTAGGTGGGGCTGGGGGGCGTGAAGAGAGCATTGATGAGATATCTGAACCAGTCAGTACCGAGGCAGTGTTAGAGCCAGGGGCTTGGTTAACAGTGAGGCGAGATATCAAGGCTTCAAACCGTGCACTGTCTTCCAATCTCCGTTGGTGGTCTCTCTCTGCCTCTGCTTGCCTTCTGTGTTCATCCGCCACACGTCTGTTAGCTTCATCTTCGCGCCTTTCATCTCTCATAAACCTCATTAAAGCAATTATCTCTGGAGACAAAGCTGAATATTGAGGTGAAGGGCTGCGCGATATTGTTGGAGCTGGAGCGTCATGGTCAGCCTGGTCATCCATCTCTGCGGGGCTATCATCTGACTGACTCATCCGGGCGCTGGCTCCACGACTGCGCAAGGCACGAGACATAACTACTTCATTTGTGTACTGTGTCCTAAATCAGTGTTGACCGGTCAGCCCGTCGTATCAACAAGATCTCAGACAAAAAATTAATTAAATACACAGATAAGTAGATTATATATATAAAATATATATAAGGGAGCCGCCGATGTCAGTGATTGTGTGTGCGGGGCAGGCGATAGCGTCTCGCCATGAGGGGCCTCGAGCTGTGAGGGGGTGTGGAGACGAGAGGAGCGTCAGTTACACCCGAGGCATGACGAGGGGAGGATGTGAAAAACGTTACTCCTTACAAATGCCCAGAACATGCCGTGTGCCTTGGGAATCCTTTAGAACAAGGTCACACATGTATGGCACGAAACACACAATGCACTAAACACTGCACAGAAAATCACTGTCACTGACACTGCTCAAAGGTGCTAAAAATTCTTCGAGGAGGGGTGGCGGGCGGCGGTTCGGTGACACAGGGAAGGAGTCCTTAAGCCGGCTTTCCCACAAAGTTTGCACTTTCAATCGTAATTATCCAGTAAAACCGGTTCACTGCGCCATGTTCGTGTTCTAGGTAATAAGTTCAATATACAGGAGCGAACACAAACACCTGTATAGTTTTGTAGGTTCTATTTACTGGATAAGAGATATGTACACAAGGGGAGTAGCGCTCTTCAACCTGTCCGCTGGTCAACTGCTCTATAGGCGACGTATGGCAAGTGACACACTAACAGCTTCCATATGTCGCCAGGCACATTAATTAAGCATGTGGGACATGGTAATTACATTGCCACACGCTGCTAGCTAGGCTGAATAAATAATATATATAAATGGAGCACATACATAATATATAATACAGCATACATAATATACATACAACCTTAGCTTGGGATTCAAGTTTTGTATGCTCGTAAATCGTGCAGCAAGAGTAAACGTTTCGTGCCACTGACAACGTTTTGAGGGTGCAAGCATACCAACCCCCAAGTCTTCCGCCAGTTGGTACACCTGACTACACTACGATGACGTAGTAACAACAAACGACGGTCGGGTACCTCCATGGCCAATCTTGAAAAATCAAAGAATTTTACTCCATTGTATTACGACCGCCGGGACACCACGGCTGATCTTGCAATTGGCCCTAACAACTGATATTGGGACATATATTTCCAGGTATGACCGAATAAACATGTCGTGTACTACTGGAAGGATCTCATTACCCCACACTCTCACCCCAGTCTAGCCGTGAGCGGCTACATATTCTTTGTGTAATTGATTTGTAAGTTAAATAATTTTTCTTAATAATTATGCATATGCGCCTTTAATCCAAGTATATATTTAATCCCTTCTTTACTGACAACGAATTTCTTAAAATAATATACTCTTTGTTCTTTAAGTTTAGATAAAGTAACTAAAGATTTAACCTCTGTTTTGCTGGTGCTACTAAAACACATAACAATCATCTACCGCTCAAATCATTTACCTGCATAACCTTGTTTGAAAAACCAAAAATAAAGTAGTATACTCAAATTATCTGATAACATATAGGTCACTATACTGATAATTGCGGGTGTGATGTAAATAATTATACAAAAGTGACATAACAAGTATGTAATATCAATATATCACTATACTGGTGGCATAGACGTTTTGATACCAGTTTATGCTGCTATAGAATGAAACACCGTATCCAGTGTTAGGGTGTATGCACTGATGAAGAAGGCATGACGTGTGTAATTCAATGGAACTCTGACCGTCATGAGGTACTCATTGACCTTATCAGGGATTTCAGTTAACCTATGTAGGATGGATTGAGTTAATGGCAAAGCCAACTTCATAAATGAGTTCTCTTCACATCAGGCTTACCCTACCAGAACAAGGTATAGCTGTACACCCATTTCGTTGCCACGTGGCGGCTCTTCTTTCAAGACGCTCATTTGTGCCAATATCTAGAAAGGTCCTGACATTGCATTCAGCGACCATAAGAGGTTGTATAATTTGTTTTTGCTTTGATCTGTGTTTATGTTTTCAACCACATTAGGATGACCATACTTGGTGCAGTTGCCCAGTCAAGTTGGATTTTTAGGCAGGCTATGTTTAGGGCACCTTTTCTAGCCCCCTCCCCATGTGGGGTTAACAGAGTGGCTCATGGAATGGGCTGCTCAGATGGACAAATAGGACTGGATTGCACTGCTGCCTTGAGCCCAGTGGATAAGCGATCAACTTATCTGTGCCTCCCATGTGCAGAGTTGTGAATAAAGACTCCCGGCAGTCATCTCTGCCTCGCCCGTCGACACTCGTCTGTTGTCATTGGACTTTTAGGGGCTTAGGCGTTTTGATGATGGTGATAAAAATTATGATGTGGTAGATGATGGCTTCTTGTGAGTTGATTTATGTGGCGAGGCAGGAGTGCAGGCTGCATCCACACATCTTGGCTCTCCCTGGTCCTGTTCCAGTGGTGCAGATAGCTGCAATAACTGGGGAAAGGTAGAATTACAATGGACTGGCGACAGCACACTTTGTTGGGTTTCGCCTTGGTAGCCTTTTCATCTTACATTGCCTTCATCCACTGATGTGGTCGTCGGGTTGCCGAATTGGTCTCCTCTTCCGCCTATTTCACCGCTAGGGTCTTATTGGTGCTTTGTAAGCATGCCTGCCTCATGCAGGGCTCCACCGCAGATTTTTCGTTCAGAGTTTACCCCTGTAGCCGCGAAGCAGTGGTTGGTAGGCGCCAGGGCGTGTCCAGATGCCAGTGGGACTATGTACCGTCCCTCCGGGGCCCACTGCTACTCGGAGATCCCCGAGTGGTCTAGCCTGGGCCCACGAGGCACCCAGCTACTGTGTGTTGCCACGAGGAGGAACAGCAGGAGCCTTGATGGTGAAAAGTCTGTGTACTGGCAGGGAAAGACTTACACAAGGCTACTGCCTACCACACCCTCACCACCCTACCACAAACACCCTGAGTTTATTTTACACTACACAAGTCACAAAGTTGGTTTAGAAAGGTCACTACAGGTACAGATATAAAGGACAGGTAGACAGTTAATTTCCCTGCGATCAAATTATACAGGTGATGCCTCAACACAAGTAAGAAATTACAGGTACAGCTACAGAGACAAAGTATAAATTGGATACACACACACACACACACAAACACACACACACACACACACACACATACACGTCTTCACTGCCTTTATTTATTTCCCGCCTCACCTCTATGAGAGGAAGGAAGGAGAGGAGCTCTGCTGAAGCAAGGTCCTGTGACTTGTGGTTCAGAAGGTTAGGAAAGAAGGTGGCCTCGTAGCCCAAACCCTGACACATTCCCTCCTGGAGGGCTTCGCAGGGCCGGGAGTCGGGGAAATCAGTGGGGCCGGCACCAGTGGTCGTTGCCAAAAGCCACGCCGTTAGCAGCAGTGAGGGACGGCTCCTGTAGGAAGAGGGAAGACATGGGTAAGGGTTTATTTGGTTAGTTTATTTTTACATAGGTTTTGTGTGTGTGTGTGTGTGTGTGTGTATGCATAATTTGTTTTCGTTTGTCATAAGTGTGTTTTTTCGTGTGCTGATAACTCTTCCACCGGTCACGCTTGGTAAACATACTTTACTAAAGGTCGAATCATCATCCTTACAGGGTTAAGACATGGTCCTCATTGGTTTAGAATTTGATCATCGTCTTCAAAAGGTTAAACCATCTTCCTCAAAGGATTGAAACATCATTTTCAAAATGCTATACTATTGTCTTCAATGGGTTAGTGTCAGACAATCGTTCTTCAAGGGTTAAATAAATGTCCTCCAAGTTTTAAGAGATCTTTCTTATAGGGTTAAATTAATTACCATTCTCAGAGTGTTAAGTTATCTGCATCAATACTTTATTTTCTTACATTGTTACCGATACTGAACTGATTTTAAGTGAGAAATATAAGTGGATCATGATGACCCCACACGTAACTTGTCAGACATCAGAAAAAAAAGAAAAATAAGATGATCACCGAGAGAATTAATGAGACAAACTCACAAAATGACGGGAAACAGAACGAGGGGCTGAGCATGTTGACACCAGTAGCCAGAAGAAGGAAATATCATGCTGTATTAAGATTTTGCCTATGGAGTGTAACACACACACACACACACACACACACACACATAAATATATATATATATATATATATATATATATATATATATATATATATATATATATATATATATATATATATATATATATATATATATATATATATATATATATATATAACAAAGAAGTAGGTGTGTGTGTGTGTTTGTTTGTGTGTTTGTGTGTATGTGTGTCCGCACGAGAATCTCGGGAACTACTTTACCGATCTGTAGTGATGATGGATGGTGTTTTATGTAGTGATGATGATGGATGGTGTTATATGTAGTGATGATGGATGATGTTATATGTAGTAATGATGGATGTTGTTATATGTAGTGATGATGGGTGGTGTTATATGTAGTGATGATAGATGGTGTTATATGTAGTGATGATGGATGGTGTTTTATGTAGTGATGATGGATGATGTTATATGTAGTGATGATGGGTGGTGTTATATGTAGTGATGATGGATGGTGTTATATGTAGTGATGATGGGTGGTGTTATATGTGTATAATATGGACACGAAGTAGTACCTTAAGCTGTGTATTCTTATATTACTCTATTAATTATGTATAGTAAAGTATTACCGAACATGTATTAATCCTATGTAATATTTCCATTTATTATGCACCATGTTATGTATGTGAATTACCATATTTATATTTTATGTATTTAGCTTGTGAATGCTGGCATCTGTACATGCCAGCACGCAGTGATACAAAGAGTGGAGATCACCAGTCCTTATGGTGTGGAAGCGAGTTTCTTTGTCCATTTGTATTCATCTCCCGTACGAGAATAAGAACCTATTTTCAAGATAACAAGTGTTTGTGTATACCCTCAGTAGTGTAGAACATTTTGGGGGTACCAAAGACAAACATAGATGGCGCAGTGAGATTTCTCAGTGAGATTCAGAGGACCAAGCCTTCCCGCCGGACTGTGTTAATGGCGTCTCGTCTTCAGCTTCAAGGATTTACAGCCAGACTACAAGCCTCGGGACTTACAGTGTTGTGAAGTGCTATGCTGTGTACAGTGCTGTGCTGTGAAGTGAAGTGTTTTGTGAAGTGCTGTGTTGTGTATTTTAATCAGAATTGTCTGTGCAAATTGCAGTCAGATGACTAAGGGAGCTTGCCCAGCAGTACGTCCGCTCCCGTCTCTGGTCATTGGGTAACTGAGGACAACTGACCAGCGAGCAAACTCTGCCCAGCTGCTACTACCTCTGGCAGCGCGCGCCAAGCCTCCCGGCAACGAGCCATACACACACACACACACGCAATCACAGGCCCACCTTATATTAAATTTTTGCGAATTACTTTAGACTTCTGTAATTCTGTGCATAGATTACGAGGGGTTGACCCGGTCTTTGCACAGATAGAGTACAGAAGCTGTCGGCATGTCTCACAGGGATCAAAATGATACCCTGGACGATGGGGTTATGAGTTTAAGCTTGGAAGACCTCTCCCCACCCACACTCAGGCCCCACGCTCCCCACAGTGACAACGCCCAATCACCCACAGAATCTCCTCGTTCGTCGCGAGCAAGCTCTCCTGCGGTGCCTGCGTCCACAGATCTCCTTCAACTGATTAAGTGGATGGAAACTTCTCGACGCCAGGACTATGTTGCAAGGAGAGAAGAGGAAGAAATTCGGTACAGAGAGTCTGAAAGACGACGCCACGAAGATGAACAAAGACGCACAGAACTAGAAGATATACGTAGAAGTGAGGATGACCTGAGAAGAAGAGAGGATCAAGCCAGATTTGAAGTCTTGATTTCCCTATTAGCCTCCCCACAACGATCTACTGTACAAGATTCTTCTGCTACTATTAATGTTGATGCAACTAGAGGCACTGGTACCTCATTTCCCAGAGTGGATTCAACAATTCCTCAAAAGGCTGCAGCACAAACGCCTCCCTCTCTGAAGTCTGACGCTTCTTATCAGATATTTCGGGAATGGCGTCGATGTTGGCAAGACTATGCAACAATGGTTGACCTGTCAAGTTTACCACAGCCTAAACAGATGATACAGCTTCGTATGTGCTTGTCCTTAGAGACACAACGTACTCTCGAGCACACACTTCAAGTGCCTCTTACGACAACTCTGACTGTAGAGGCCGTGCTTGACAAGTTACAGGAACATGTTAAGGGACAGCGCAACGAAGCACTCAGAAGAAGAGAACTCCTCCAATGTAAGCAGCTTGATGGAGAATCTTTTGATGCATTTTTTGTAAGACTCAAGAGATGTTCAGAGGAAATTGATGTTTGTCCTGGAAATTCTCAAGTCTGTGAAGAGACACAACTCAAGACAATTATTTTAACGGGTATTCGAGATGAAGAGCTAGTTCAGCGTCTCATTTCACTTGACCCCACTTCCTCCCTTCAAGATGTAGTTACAAAATGTCGAGCGTACGAGGCCGCCAGGTGTGCGACTTCAGCTTTACGCTCACAACCTGACCAGGTGAGGGCGGTGTCTTCCTACAGAAAGGGTAAGAAGCAGCAAGGTAACCCCACCCCTCACCCTCCAGCTACACCTTCAGCAGCAGCTTTGTGTAACAGCTGCGCGAGACAGCATGATGCCTCCCAGTGCCCAGCTGCTCAAAGCGTGTGCAGAAGTTGCGACCGCCAGGGTCACTGGGCTTACACAGTCAAGTGCCCTGCTAGCAAAGTTCAGTGCAGACTTTGTGGTCGTGTGGGCCATTATGACAAATGTTGTCTTAAGAAGACACAGAAAGGACACCACTAAGGATCCAAGAAGTCATCCTCAGGTAGTGCTGGCACACCCCCTCCTTCTGGCAAGCATCAAGGCGCTGTGACCAGTCGTTCCTGCCGTCATGTACATTGTGTAGGTTATGTATCTAAGCTACTGTGCCGAGTAGCAACCCTGTACATAAGCTACTGTGCCGAGTAGCAACCCTGTACATAAGCTACTGTGCCGAGTAGCATACCTGTACATAAGCTACTGTGCCGAGTAGCATTTATATATATAATCACGTGGCAACACTGCACGTGTTATGTGGCAACATTGCCCCGAGGCTGCCATATGGCAAGGCAGCCCCAGTCTGACTGTGTGAGCCGTGCATGGCACACGCGAGTCACCACTTGTATTTCTCTCATCCATAATAAACGGACTCAGTGTTACTCAGTGTTTCCCTAGCCATCACTGCATTCTTCAGGGCACACTAGTAACTTTCATGGCGCAGTGTCTAGGATCTGTGGACTTACAAAGTGTGTGAACAATGCCGACAGTTACGTCTGACGGTGATGCGCGTCGACTCATAGTGTGTTGTGTTGTGTTGCGCTGTGTTTCGCCGCGATGTGCAGTGTTGGGCCGTCACAGTGCGTTTTAGTGACGGTGGCAGTGTTAGTGTCAATGTATTAGTGTGTGTCTAGAGCTGAGTTGAGCATTGGCCTGTTTTTTGTGGTACCCACGGAGCACGCAGGCGTACACCCTTCTCGTGCGACATCCGGGGGACACTGACGGTCTTGCCGGACCACGCTCCGCTCTCTCAGACACACTCGCACGCACGCACTCACTCACGGACAGAACAGTGGAACCATATGCGTGATTTCTGCGCTGTTTATGTCATATATATGTGGTTCGAGCTGTTGAGGCGCCACTTTATATATTAAACAGTGCAGTCCACGCACACACAAAGATGGGAGGTAAGAAGGGACGTCAAGATGGGAGACACGACTCCCCACCACCTTCCCCTCCACCAGGCGCAGACTCTCATCCTCCACCTCCAGTGACGGACATCGCCACAATTCTGAAGTGGATGGACGACTGGGACGAGAGACGCAGAGAGATGGAACTTCAGAGGGAGGAGACACGAAGAGAGGAGGAAAAGTTGCGTTTTGAGGCACTATTGGCGACCCTGGCGCTAACCCACCCTCCCTCACTTGCAGGTAGCGCGCTTCAAGGCGCCAGTACACTCCCTCCTCCACCACACCAGCGTCCTCCAGGTACTCTTGCTACCCCAACAGCTCCCAAGGCATCTGTTCAACCCCCACCCGCCCTCTCACCAGACGTCACGTTTCAGCTTTTTCGTGAGTGGAGGCGGCGTTGGACAGATTACTCCACGATGGTGGACCTTGACAGCATGCCTCCAAACAAACAGCTCATCCAACTGCGGATGTGTTTGTCGCTGGAGACCCAGAGAGTTTTGGAGCACACGTTGCACGTGCCTCCCGACTCTACCTCTTCAGTGACGGATGTGCTCGACCTTTTACAGGAGCATGTTAAGGGTCGGAACAACGAGGCTTTGCGTCGCTGTGCCTTTACCAGCTGCAAGCAGGCAGAGAACGAATCCTTTGACGACTT